CATACTTGTTAACTGCCAACTATTATTTTAAATTAAATATATAATAAATATATAATTTAAAAATTATTTTAAATTAAATTAAATATGTAATTTAAAAATGTTTTAAAAACTCAAAGATGAATGAGACAGATTTATTCTCTACCACACGATTATATTGAACTTAGAGTATAAAATGTTTAAGTGAACCATTAGTTTATAACTATAATATACTAGTCAGATTACTACTAAGGGCAATATTTGAACAAAGCTAGTTTTACAAATTCATCTTTGTTTCCAGTCCAGCGGGCTAGGAAGAGAATTTCTTCGATCCATCTGACAGATGGCTAGATTTTTACTAATCTATGTATGGGGAATATTCATGTGCAGAGTAGTAGTGAGGGAAGGGAGATAAACAGACCAAACCATCCTTGTCATGATGATTCCGGTGAAGGAGGGGTAGATGAAAGATGGGAAACCTTAATAGAAAGCTCGGTTATAATGAAGAAGGAAAAGGAGGAATACTATGCTTGTTTCCAACATAAAATGGCAAATTTTACATTTATGGAAGTGGTTTCCTGTTCTGCCATCAAAGTATGTAATAATGCAGAGAAAAATTGCTGTTATCTAAACCAACAGAATCACTCATCACAAAACTATTCCTCTGCCTTGGAATTCACTTATTACAGCATCTTTTATATGCAAACTTACATAAGCTGCAAACCCATATATTACTGTTTTCTGATCTAACAAACTAAAATTTATGAATGTAAATGCAGAATTCTGGTTTCGGGTTTGGTGACTTTTGACTCATGTTCCCAAATTACAAAATTTATTGATTTGTTAAGCTCTTTTCAATTAGTCATAACAATGTATTATAAATTACTTAACGTGTTTCAAACTTAGAAACTGAGAATGTATTTTAATAATGTTATGAATAATTATAAGAATAAATACTACAGACATTATGGAATATTTTTAATACACACATGAACATACACACACAGAAACACACAAAAACATTAAATCAAAATGAACAGACACGTTTGTCTCATTAACACGAATAGCTAACACAATAATGCATATAAACAGACTTGACAACCTTTTAAGATACAGATTAAGTATAATGATAAATCCAAAATTGCATTTCATTCTAAAAATAACCTAAGTAGAAGTGACAGCGCCACTGCTAATCTGCACTCACTCCTGGGAACTAAGGCACAGATGTGTGAGGACGTACCGAGAGCACTTGACAGCTATGACCTAGGAATCCTGTGCAATGTGTTGTTATACCTGTCTACAAGACATATGGTTTAGATGAATAAAAATATTCTATAATTTGTTCACCAACCACCCAAACAGGGTTTGACTCGGGAATGGAGCTGAAGACCAGAAAGCAGAGGCCATGTAAGAATGTTAGGTTTTGGTACTTTTGACTTCAATAGTCTGCGTATTTGTTTCAAGGCCCTTGCTAATCATTCCCATGGTGCTGTTTCATAAACCTGTGAATTTACACAAAAGTGCTTCTTTAGGTAGGAATCCAATACATCCAAAATTTAAATCACAAAACTCCTATAACAATAGGAATTCTTATATCAAAACATTTTTGACCAAAAGATGCTGAGAAAAATATTATAGATTTCTGAAAAACCTGTAAATTGTATTATGAAAAGTTGAATAAAATAAATGGAAAATATGCATTTCTTAATTTTTAATTGAGATTGATTCTGATGCTTAGCAAATGTAGTTTTACCTATTATTACTAGTAACGTAATGAGTGGCAATGATTGAAATAAGTGACTTTAACATGTGCACTCCTAAATCATATATATATATATATATATGTAAATTGAAACTGTTAATTCTTCTAAAATCTTTCTCATTTTAAGCAAACTAGTTCTCTTGAGTTCATGTATGATTTAATACAAATGAAATAAATTAAACAATAATAAATATTGCTATCTTCTTTTAACCATTTGCATTGATAAATTCTGAATTGATATCTTCATGGTTGGGAAATTATCTGCTGTCATTTAAATTTCAGTTGCCATTTGATCGCAATATACTGTTTCTCTATGGACTCAAGATTCTTCAAAGGCCATACAAAATACACATATCAAGTGAGATGGATTTTAGGTACACGTAAGCTAAACTATGTAGGAGGCAGAGGTTAGCATAGTGAAATTGTGGTGTTTACTGATAAACTGAATTTGACTCTGTGAGAACAGAGATAGAACATAAGGGAGCAACTTCTAATATATAAGCTTTCTTTGAGTGGGAAATTTGAGTCCATGTTAGGGAAGATTTCTGGTGAATGTTACCAGACCACTGTCCTGCGCTAAAGAATGGGTACTGGTGGAGTGGAGGCATCATTCTGAGTTGTCAGAGAATAATTCTGAATCCACATTATTTCTGTGTGACTGGGAACTCATCAGAAGCATGAAACTTCTTAAGAATACAGGCTTTGAATTTAGCGCTTACCTTTAATAAATACTACTTAAGAATAGATTCAATAAGCATTTCTTAGCGAAAATGGGCAAATTAGTGAGCTATGAATGGATGCTCTCAGGTAAAACTGACTAGCGTCTTCAGATGATAAAAACCATTTATAACCGAATAACAAAGACTTTTTTTGCACTGAGTGGCACTCCCATGCATGAGCCTGCTTCTTCAAGCATCATTTAACAAAAGATACAGTCTTTCCTTTCATCATTCCGGGAAACTGTGCTAGTATCCACATACTCCAGGTGAGGAGACACACAGAGGTGAGGGACATGGGGAAGGAAAAGCTAGAGTCCTGGACTCGACTCCCTCCCAAGAGTTTAATCCACTCCCCCACATTCCAATTTACAGTAAAATGAAATTGGCACATTAACCTGAAAGGAAAAAGAAAGAAAGAAAATGACCAAATTTATTCAGTAAATTCAGGCATAATAAATAAAACCGAGTTTATTCATATCTGAAAGGAGTTTGGCTGTTGAATAGAAAAATTAGCTTATTCTTTACTTAGTGAGAGAAAGGGCAAAGAAATCTTAAAATCCTAGGGAGTTGAATTAGCATAAAGAACAGGCTGTGTTAATGGTGGGGTGGCTTTCCTAAGCCCTGATGGGAAAACATAAGGCAGCATTTTCATTCTTCCTGCCTCATCAGAGCACCCCAAGTCCTCCAGGCACTCCCCAGATTGCCAAACCTTTCAGTGCATGGGGGAATGTACCAAACTGGCAAGGGTTGGGTCAGAATATGTGGGTGAGGCATCCGTGGAGCCAAGCAGAAACTTTCTACTTCATTTGAGAAATTCCTAATCCTTTGTCATTAAAAAGACTTGGAAAGCATCGTGCCTATTTCTGACAAAGTGACCTGCATTGCAAATACCCTCAAAACAAAATCTCTCATGAGGCAAGTAAAGCTTAGATGGAAGACATAGGGAAGGGATATGATGGTATAAGATAAACAAAACTAAACCCTGCAGGACCACCTGAAGCATAACAAATGGAAAGTGTCAGCTGTATCTAAGGGTTCAAAGAGAATTTAAAATGTAAAGCAAGAAGGTGTTACATAGAGAAAGGACATGAAGCATTCACAAATTCTTTCTGATCCAGATTAGCTCTGGGCATTTCCCTTAGAGCTTGTGCCATGTTTACATGAGTAGATCTGAACCATCATGACTTGGAGTATTGTGTGCTGGTTTGCTCTTTTAAAACATACAATGTTATTATTGTGTATTTAACAAAATGGCCTGTGCTATGCTTTAACCAAGACAAGTCATTAAAAGCCTTTTTTTAAAAAAAAAAAAAGATTTAATTCAATATGTTACAGACCGCCCAGTTCTTCCTCAAGCTTTTATTGAGCATACCAGGGCAGTGTGAGCATACTTACCCATCTTCCATGATGGTGTTGTAAAATTAACCAGTGTTAAGTACCAAAGCACCTTGTACCATTTTTCCATTTCTAAAGCACATGTGAAACTTTCGGACACTTCCTTTAATAAGCTTCCTGTGAATCTATTCATAAACATTTGTCAAGTTTATCTAATCTAACTGTCCAAAGTCAGCACTGTACTATTGTTGGTGTAGGTATTTCCAACTAATGTTGATGTGATAAAGAATTTTTGTAAGTCATTCCATCAAACCCCTGCTTATTCCATATGAGTTAAAAGTAAAAAACCAAAAAGGTACCTTTGAATTGACAACTGCACTGTCTTTCACAAGACAGACTAGTGGACCACCCAAAAGAAAGGCACAATCAACTTGATCAGCAGAAAACAAGTTTAAATATACCTAAATTCATCCACAAGAGAAGTCCTTGGGTAACTCTAATCATATAGACAAGTACTTCCAGAATACCATGAGATAAAGAAAGGGAGAAAGTGGAGAAATTGGTGTATCACAGTCTAAATGAACTGCAAGAGGTTTAAAAAAAAAAACTTTTTAAAAAATAATATTATGGGTCTGGGGAATTAGTCATTGAGAGAGCACACTTGCTGTTGCTCCAGATTCGTTTTCCCAAACCCGTCATGGGAGCTCACAAATATTAATAACTCCTGTTCTAGGTCTGGTGCGTCTGGGCTCACCTTAGCTACCAGCAGACTCTTATACTCAATGTGCACTTCCCACACCAGATACACACGTGTGCGCTTATTAAAAATAAAAATGATTGATAACATCAAGGCATGGTAGGTACTGGAAATATTTTCATAGGAATACTGGTAGTAATTCTCTGCTGATTCTCAGTGTACTATCAAGATCCATCAAAATATCCACAGCGTTTAGAGACTTGAAATGAAAAATAACTGTGTTTTAAGCAGATGCACCCATATATTCATGTGTTAAATATTTGATACAATTAAGTATAAAAGTTTTATAAATTTATGGGCAAGTTTGAAGAGCTATAATGTTAGAATAACTTTAGAGAACATGTTAATAGGATTGGGTTCAAATGACCGGCTTTGTGAATAAAAGTTAAAATGGAAAGAATTTTTCTTTAAGTCAAAATAAATGGACAATGTTTAAATATCAAACCATAAATATTTTAAAGCCAGTTGCTTTCCTGCTTTTTAATGTGAGTACCATAGCAGATGCGATGATGGCACAGTAGGATGGTTGATACAAAACATGGCATTTTATCAATGGATCACATTACAAACTCATTAGCCACACTTCCATATATGCCCAAAGCCCTCAATGACTATGGGTGTGGAATATCAGAATTACTAATCATCCTATTTTAAATTTCAAAAGACATTCTAATTTTATTCTCTTCATACATAGCTGACAAACTGAGCAGAGATTCCCCTCTTTTACTAGAAACATCTGGATTTATTTGGGGATAATATAAGATACACTTATTTGGCTTCTCATTCTTAGATTGATGTACTATTAAGTAAAAACCAAAAAAAAAAAACGATCTTGACTTTATATAAGAACATATTTTATGTATGATTGAAGGTCACAACACTCTGAAAAAACCATCAGATGTTATGTTTAAAAATAAAATTAAAAGCATTTTCTGACATAGCACACATGAAAAATTGGAAATCCAAGTATCTTCAATAGAAGTTGTAGAGATTGTATGTCTCCTTGGAGTGTGTCACCCACTTAACACAGCAGAGAATAAGGCCCTATACTGTAAGCAAAAAGTACAGTGAAGGGCAGTTGTAAATTTACATAAGAATAGTTCATAAACATTTTGGTCTTTCCATAACAGTTTATATAAAATGAATAAAAAAAAAACCTTTAGACAGCTGTCATCACTCTTATTGAAGCACTTATCACTTAAATGCACACAGACACATCTATACAGCAATAAACTGATACACTGTTACATGGATATTGAACTAGGTTTTACTGCCTATAACTGAGCTCTGCGTTAGCCAATCAACATTATCCACACTTGAGATACTCATACATTATGTATTCGTGTCATGTCATATCTATAAAAACATGAAAATATAACTTTACATTATTTCAATTATTTACATTAGTTCAAGCTTGACAGAGAAAATTGATAAGCTCAATTTTTGGAAGAGTAGGGCCCAGAGGTACAATAAATAGCGTTGATTGTATATAGTCATCTCTTTCATAATTTTTAAAAACTCATTGTAAGTACAATATGGAAATAATTAGTCTGCAATTTGGTCATTCTAGCATTTATTATTAAAACTCAAAATGTACCTCCAATATCCCTGATGAGTAACGTGCTGAGATTATTTTGTATGACCGTGGAATTTGCAGAAGGGATGGCAAAATTTAGTGCAGATTTTTCAAGAAGCTGCATGCTACTGTGTAAAATGCAAGTGGCTACTGCTACGTCTTAGAATTCCCATCCTTTTCTTTGAAAATGACCGATAGAGAAGCGCTACAAAGCACTTGGTCAGACACCAAATATTACACAGAAATTTTTAAGAGAAAAAAAATTGCAATTATAAATCTTTAAGGTAACTACTGGGTGTCAGTTGCTTTTTAACACTAAAGTAAATTTATTTGGAGGACATTAGTGGAAATAATAATCATTTTAATGAAGGAAATATAGCTGACTTAAATCTATGAACTAGAGAAATATAATCCCTTTAGTAAGAAGTTACAGAGATGGGATAATATCCATATTAGACATATTTAAAGTGCTCATTCTACCTGAGGCATAAATAAAAATAATATATTATGGTTGATTTTATAGATAGAAATGGAAAGAAGCTATATTGTAGGTGACTAAAGTATTCAAACACTGATGTTAGTTCTTATAATTTTAAAACTAAAAA